CTAGAGGTCTTCGGTTTTTTGTCGCTTTAGGTTCCGAACGACTCCGATTTTGTTTTTGCATCGGAATTATGATTAGCTTTCGGGGAATGCAAAAATTTTTCCTATTTTTTTGTAAGAGATAAACCATTTGCGGTTTTACACTTCATAAACTGCCAAAGAATGAGGGCATAATGTCCAAGGAAGGAAAAGTTTTGGGATTAATTGCAAGACTTACTTGCCAAGCTCATAGTTCACGACCCCTTACTATTGCTTGAGATGGAAATTGAGGGAAATTCAACAACTCCTTTATCCGAAAACTTCATAATGATTAAAACTTCATAATCATTCATAACGATATCAACCATAAGAAAGCATAAGCTAAATTTTCAAATGTTGGAAAAAGCTACTTTCTTAGTCAAATATGTGAGTACTATCAATGAACACTCGAAATCGTGACAGTTTTCGACCACTTTTTTGTAGTTTTTCCTGGAACGTAGCTAATTCACAGAGCCCAAAATGCTGAAAGTTTCCGTATTTCTACATAACAGAAGCGAGGTGGTTGTACAGTAGATTTCAGTAGACAATGAAAATGATGTTACATGTATCCGTCTCAACGCTCATTAATCTTACCGTACATTCGCAAATGTTCCACGGAAAGGGTGAAAGAGTAGCAGATGCCTTAACACTAATTACTAGAAGGTTATGCGATAGACAAGACACTCACTAATGGTCTGGTTATGCAGATCAAGAAAGAACTGACCTCGTCGACATTATGAACAAAGGCTGATTCTAGCGTCTTCTGCACTTTCGTGACCCTTGCCAACCAAGTAACGGGCTCTATGCAGCTTTTCAAACATACGCAATGAACTATCGTTAAGATCAAGTCTTATGATCGAATATAAGAAAATAAAAGAAGACTGAGCCTAAAATTTCAATAAAGCACTAAAATTTTGCTCCAGTCATATAGAAAAATCGCGAAAATCTTAGAACAGCTCTTTTCTACGGTTCGCTTCAATTCTACATATTATTTTTTAAATTCATTTCTTTCAGTCCATTGTTATAATATTTTCTTACCCAGTGAGCTTGATGGGCCTGCATAAACCAAATGATACAGAAATCTAGAGGCAAGAGGCATTTGACAGCAAGAGGCAAATACAAAATTGACACAACAATGCAAGATGAATTTACTTCATCAGCGGCCTTCACAAATATGAATCAAAATAATTTTGATGTTTCTATCGACTTTGAAAATGGATCTTATCGTTAGTGTTTGATACTAGATCATGGCACCACCCATTCCCAGCTGCCTATCTCAAATAAGATATGATTCTTCAAACAAAATGTATCAAAGCTTTTTTGCGAGAATAGCAAGATGGCGCACCATACCCAAAAGCTGCAAATAAGTAAGTGGGAAAAATTTAACACAGGATTTTTCGCCTTTGGAACTGTATTTTCGAGCAAATCGGAATACGGGAGGAGCAATTAAATGGAAATGAAATTTGCTACTATCAAAAAAGGTCCATTGAAGTCAATGCTGTCTCAGTTTGTTCCCTGCCAGTGTCCGCACTATCCTTAAAACATATGTAGACTGACGTTTCCCATTTTCCCGGTCCTCAAATGGGGTAGATAATTTAGCGGGCTACCCGGTATCCAGTGCAGTGAGAAGTGAGCACCATACTGCTATCAGAAGAAAGAAGCATTAAACTTTTCATCTGCAACTGCAAGCACAAACTGAGATTTTCTACAGAGCACTTATCGTTAGTTGTTGGCAGACGAAAGGAAGTTTATTGTAGAAATGCGGTTTCGAAAATGCTGTATGACAGGTCTCCTTCTGCTCATTCGATATTGAACTATTGCCGTAGGAAACAAAGCGAAATTAGCACAGGTTACAATTCTTACATGGATGTGTATATCTTTGATGATTGCAGCCTAATCGTTCTCCCACAACTTTTTTGATTTTTTTTTGCACTGATCATTAGCGTTTTCCGTAACGGAGGACCATATTTTACACTTCACTTTCACGCAGGAACTTAGCAGAGGTGCGATGATACTGAATACATGGAATGACAGGCTAAAGATGTAGCATCAGAGAGACGACTTCAAAGGAAAAAAAAACAAAAACAGCCAAGCCATAGGTCATCCACATATCCGAACTATAACTCACCAAATTAAGCATTAAGACTCAACGGTGAAATCCATCTTTCTAGCTAATATCTCTGTAAAATGGAGAAATTACGAATGACTGACTGCCGTCTCAACCAACACAAAAAGCTGGAGTGGTAGTAATTTGGTCGAAACCATCGAATGATGTGATGGTTCAACCATGGTTACATCGTGGTAAGCATGATCATCTTCTTACGGCCGTTCAGTTCAATCGGTCATACAAAATTATGAAACATGCAAGTTACTTTCGGAAAACCATACTTGTTTCATGCTTGTTTCATTCTAAACCAAACTATGAATTAATCAGCAGTTTAACACCATTGTTTCGTTATCAGGTAGAGTAATGAAAACAGCATTTCATTTCATGAGACGCAGACGTGAAACCACCATATCATAGTTTAAAATGAAAAAGTACCCCCGACCACTTTTTCGTTTAAAACAATGATGTGTTGGTTTTGCAAGTTAAGGAGAGTGAGGGAGATCATTCTGCAACTTACTATGAGAAAGCTTACTTGTTCACAGCTTAGATAAGGACATAGGAAGGTGCAAGGCTGGAGACTGAACTGCAAATTTGGTAAAGTGCAATGATTGCCGACAAGCATGAGAATGGTTGGAGTTTCGATCTCCTCCAATGACTTTGCTTTGCAAGATAGCATTTCGAGGTTTCCTATTGGTTAATTCCTGGTTTCGTTGGGAAAATGATGTGAAGCTGCTGGTTAGCTGGTATCATGAAAACACAGTTAAAGGCACCGTTCACCTTAAGTTGCGGGTGTTGAGCTTTTGGCAGCATATAATAGTAGGGCCCTCTATCAAATCAATGCCCAAGTCGCGGCGCAAAATGCCGCTTCGGAAGCGAGAAAATCGCTTCGGAATAGCGAAGATGCACGAGGACCCCCCTCCATGCCCGCCCTCCCTCATCCATGCCCGCCCATTTGTGCGCGCCCACCAATCACCATTCTGGAAAGCCGGCCTGTGGGTTCTCCGGAACGGGGATTGTCGGGGTTTTCGAGCATTCTCGACTTCATATTCGGAATCAGGAACATTAGAAGGCCCTGAAACGACAAAAACGTGGAAGTCAAAAATCTGGGTGGACGGTGCCTTTAACATGATGGTTTCGACCAAATTACTACCACTCCTGATAATACCTAGAAGATCTCCACCTCAACAGATAATCCTTGTGCAACTTCTACTATTCGCTAATCAAGCGAACATTATTTTTGGAATTGCTGATAATCTACGAATGGAAGTTACGGTCTTTGAGTACTGTTGGATCACGATAGCCGTACAATAGCACAAATTTCAAAGTAATAGACCTGGGTTGTAAGAGTATACTACAGTACATAACATGCACAGCACATTTCAGGAAACTTTAGATTTTGTTGCGCAAGGGACATCTACATCCATGTCCTACAGAGATTCTCATAGGTACCACCGCTTCGCATGCTTCTTACGCCTTTGTGCTGCCTTTGGAGCGCCTACACACAAACCTGGTGTTTCTTAGAGGTCAAAATCAACAAGCTGATGCAAAGCCGATATAACAACAGTGACAAATTTTGTATGTTCTGGATTTCAAAATTTTTATCAACGCGGCTCTTTCTCTTCAATGAGCTCAACAGCGCTGCATTCCGGCAAAACACTGACTGCTCATACCTAAGGGAAGTATCGTGGACTGGCCATACTCCGTCGTACGCGTTCATTCTTTCCTCACCCTCCCCTACCGAGACAACCACGTGGTCGCGACAGAAGAAGGCTTGCGATCAGGGTTTGACACAGCTGGCACCGGGTCGAGCTGGATATCGTTTTTTAGACAAAAAGCAAAGAGGATGTGCTTTTTTTTGTGCTGATAAGATACAAAAATTTTGTTTTTCAGTCGACGTTTCGTGATTGTTTTTTTTGGGTTTTCTTATGTTTAGGATCAAAGGCACTTGGTTTTAAAATTTTTCTAGTGCCGGCTCGTGCCGAGCCCTGTTTGCGATCCATGGTCCACATAGGTAAAGGGACCTCGTAAGTTAGCTATACTCGGATTGATGCGCGTAGGGGTGATACCAGAAAGCTTCCAGAAAATTGAAACTCTTGCCTTCAAAGCTTTATTTCGGGTAGGGATGGCAGCTACTACTAACTCTTCATAATACTTACAATTATGACCTATTCCGTACTTGAGCTAGATTTTTAGATAGATACTGAGTCAATTATCAGACATTTTTGAACAGAAATGTTCAATGAATCGTCGTTGTTTTGGTGAAAAAGAATATATGCGGCTCCTAGATCTTTGGTATTGAGTTTTTTCGTTCAAAAGTAATCGAAGAGCAATTTTTTGATAACTCGGCTATAGGCGTACTACTTACCCACGCTTACCTCTCCATCAGTCATGACTGCAACAACGCAAACATCAAAAACAGTGTATGGGGAGCAAAACGAATTTCGCAAAACAACGACTGGTAGCTCATTATATAGTTCGCAACTATTTGACAAGGGGCTGAAAACGATTCTCGATATGGTCACCCGCTATCAAAACATTGATATGGATGATGGAGACAGATGTGTCAATAGAAGGCATTGAATGAACATGTAGTGAACGAAAAAAATCGGGAGCTGTCAAATCACAAAAAAACTGTTTCTGTCAGAAAGAAAATCACCCTGAAAAAACGCAAGAATTGGATGGATTTCTGCCAACTAGTGAGCTAGCAGCATAGTCGAAAAAGTGCATTCGAGCGAGAATAAAATGGCCGTGCACAGTTGAGCATATCCACGACAACGCGCCATTAACAACAAGGATTCAGATGATCTATACCTGGCAACCATCACCGGCCATTTAGCTAACATGCGCTGACTTACACTCGGTAAGGTGAAAGAGGGGTGCATAACCGAGTCAAGATGAGTAGGGAAGATGTAGGGCACAACAAAAATAGCTTGAATTTTATTGGTGTATCACCTTATGTGGCTGGTAAACGCTTAACAGTGAACAATCAACAAGAAAAGATCATATTTGCACACGTTTCGACAATTTGATAACACGTCCAATCTACATCATCAGGATTTCACCGGAAGTATCACGACAGCAGATGGGGATAGCGATGACTACAGTGGCAACGCTGTCGCGCGAGTCTAGTGAATCCGTGACATATCCTCTATGATTTTCATCAGTTCCTCCGGCGACGACGAGTTTTCTTCCGTGCTGTCTGCAAAAAAAAAGTTATTTAAAATGATAGCCTGCACAACAAAGACGTTGTAAGCCGAATTCATATGAACTAAGCCATAAAGGTGATGGCCCACAAGATTTGGTTCCCGAGACTTTTTGTATTACAAGTCCTACCGGCTTTGAAAATTTTCATGGGTTCAAAATTGCAAAAAATCCCAAAAAACTCGTTTTTCAAAGATTCCGTAAATGTTTAGCTAATGCCGTTCAGACAAGTCAAGAAGAACGGCATTACCTGCATATACGTCTTAAAGGCACCGTCCACCCTAAGTTGAGGGTCTTGAGCTTTTGGCAGCATATGATATTAGGGCCTCCTATCAAGCCAGTGCCCAAGTCGCAGTGCAAAACGTCGCTTCGAAAGCGAGAAAATCGCTCCGGAATAACGAAGATGCACGAGGACCCCAGGACCCGCAGGCGGCACCGCCCTCCCCATCCATGCCCACCCATCCGTGCGCGCCCAGCCAATAACCGTTCCGGAAAACCGGCCTGCGGGTGCTCCGGAACGGGGATTATTGGGGTTCTCGACTTCATATTCGGAATCAGGGACGAGCCAATTTTGTTGAGTTTTTTCGTTGGGAGAACTCATGAAACGTAGAAAAAACCCACACCAGATGGGATTTGGGTAGTGAATAAAAAAAATCCCAGATAAGATTGAGAAGTCCACCTCAATTCGAGTAAAACTGCCTATAAGTGCATGTTATTGCCCAAAACCATCTGTCTACTCGAGACGGGCACGAGTGCACGGATCTTTCAACTTGCCAAGTACACCTTCCCTGGCTGCCAGGCAGCAGCTTAATTAGACAACTGATGTCGCCCGCCAGATTTTATGACTTCCAATTTCATGACAATATTCGCGTGCTTACTCCATTTTCAAAGTACTGCAACCTATCATTCACAAGTCGGGATTATTTTGTTTGCTCTATATTTTGATATGTCCATGGACCACTATAAATGTTCATAAACTAGAAAAAAAATCTCGTGATCTTGCTTCAAATGTGCTTTGATGGTATCCGGCAATAACGAGCAGCGCCTTTTGGTGTTGAGAAAAATGGATACAGTGATTGAACAAAGCAACAATTACAGCTTATATGGGAGGGAGAAAAGATTTACCAATTGCTCATTGTGGGCAATAGGCTGAATGTCGCGCCGCATTTAGCAATCTCACATTCTAGCAACAAAGAAAGATTCACTATTTTCAAAACCCGTGCAGTACTCTTTTGGGCCTAACCTACGAGTCGTTTCAGTATTTGTGATTTCTTTTAAACTTCGTTCCGTAACTTTTCGCTCTCTATGAATTGCTTCTTTGTGATTTTATTAGTAAAGTTGTGTTCGCTTTGTAATAGTGCCTTGAGAGTCAACTGATCAAGTGATTGCAAAGATAAAACTTAACTAGAAGACCACGCATGTTTTGATCAACACACTGACGACTACGCAAATTTTCTGTTTTCTGGGGCCAAGGCTTTCACGATAGCGTCGACATTTTTCGAATTAAATCATGCATACTGCCATCTAGGTATACCTACAGCTCTGCAAGGTGTCAGTCTTTTAAATAAACATCTGTACACAAATGCTGAAGAGCGTCAAATTACGCATAAGCCCTGTGTGCTCTGCAGCGAATTTTGCAATTCACGCTCAATTACGCTATTTTTGACTGGGGTCGCAGAACATGCTAAAACGTCGCAGTAAGATCGTCTGTGGTAAAACATAACTTATACCCTTTGAGATGAAGTTGTGTTCAAAATGTTTTTGATGTATAGATTTTTGATAAAACGTTTATTTTTGCTTTTTCCGTTCTTTTGTTTGTGAACCTATTTTACTATATGATGCTGTAAGATTGTAAAATACGACATATTTGCGATCTTGCAGCGTTCTTTGCACCCTCAAAATTACAGTAGTTGAGTATTAGACCCCCTTATTAGTGAAGTGAGACCAAGCAGGCGGGAGCACGTTTTTACTTGAGAAAGGAAAATACTTTCGATTTGATGTTGTTCAGTATCAATGCGCAAAAAGTCAGTAAAGATTTCTCGCTTCTACTGTTTCTTACTGTGACCAAAATTGCAGAATTCTGACCAGCCTGTAGCTGGAAAAGGACAATTCGATATATGCATTGTTTCTGCATCAACAAAATTTTGCCTGATCTCACCGCTACTGCAAAGTCCTTTGATGTACATGTAAGATGCTTTGCGACGGACATTTAAAGATAAAACCTCGAAATGAGCTTACCCGGTCGCTGAATGCCCGCCAATGCCGCAGCTGCTGTTTCATGAGGCATATCAAGCAAAGACTCGACTAAATCTCCATCCACGAATCCCACAGCCTGAAATTAGAAAAAAATTTCCTCATAGAGCCAGCATCAAACAAGGATCACCTTGTCAACAATTTTTTCGCTCGTAAACTGTCGGTAAACAGCATGATCAATCCTCATACAATTATCGGTCTCTCTAGCCACGCCTTTTTCGACCTCCGAGAAGAATCTGAAAATTGTTGCTAGATGAGATATATAAAACAGACGTAAAGCTATCATACTTGAAATATTTCTCTGGCAGCTGTACTATAAGGCCAATTGTACCATCAATGGTACCAAAAAGAATCGGTTTTGTAATCGGTAGAGGGTTGTCCACATGGCTGGAGACAAGTGAACCTCTCCGGAAAACATTCACCATTTCACCCAGGTAGAACATTCCAGCTTCCTAGACGGACTCTTTTAACGTCAAAACTTTTCGCAGTTAAGGAAGAAAAAACGTACAGCTAATCTTCGTTTCTCATCAGCATTGTCAGCTCCCCTATCAATTTCACAAGTGAAGAGATTGTGCGCGGCTTCGGCTCCAAGAGCCGTCTCTGCATCGATAAACTCAACCGCAGACATCCACATACCGCGGAAGTCCCTAGATGTAAACGAAAGTTATATGATGAATGAAGGATCAGCTGGTATACTGACTTAGCTACTTCTTCGAACGTGCTTTCAACGGCTTTGTAGTTCAGAATTGTCATGGATCGCATAAGATCGCCTACTAGAACTTGGTCACCCTGTAAGTTCTTTGTTCTTGAAAATGGAGTATGGAATTGAAAGATTACCTTGACTTTGATGAACAGCGCTGTGATATAATTAAAATGCGAACATTCCAAACGCAGTTCCTTTTCTGAGGTCCACTCGAACAATCGAACTGAGCTGAAATCATGCCGATTCGAAATACGAAGAAGCATTGAAAAGTATTGTATTATATTACATTACCTATTTATGGCTACGATGAGCTTGCCATTGAGGACATCCATACTGAATGGTGCGCCACGTATTTCCTTTTCATGCACTAACCGCAAGTGGGTTCGTTCGGATCCTTTACCAGATTCAAATACTAGTAGACGACCCTGAGACAGATCATTCAGCAGATCAAATAATGAGGAGCTGGTGGCATCAAAGAACAGACGCTTTTGGACTCCGTTTCATCGCTGTAGACTAGAGCAGTACCAACAATGTAATAGGTAGTAGGATCATCACCAAGTTTTGTAGAGATTATGCTGAAAATTAGAAAGTTTTTTGATTTGAAGCAACCAGAGGATTCACAGACAAAAGCTATACCTCAATGCCTGTTCGCACGGTCCGAGTTCATGGCAATGAAGATATTCGAAGGTATTATCATCGAGAGTCACAATTGAATGAACATCGCCATCCGTCGAATCTATAGATACACTGGGTCTTTGCCCTACAAAATATCGGTTCAATATGTGGGTGTACTGTCAAGGTAGTGATTTACGCACTAACGATTAGAAACGCTAATAAGGTCCAGTGAACCGAATCTGAGCGCACAAATTCCTTCATCGCCAAATGATGATCGAGATTGCAGACAAAACCACCCCCTCCCTTCTCATCTCAAAAAGAGCTCGTCCCACAACTTGATCATATGGATGAGAAGTAAATTAGTCAAAAAACAGCAATATTTTTGTATTTTAAGCAAATGTGCAAGAACTGGTGTAGAGGATGTCTGAGGCGAATGTCATAGGACACGGAATCTAATAAGCCATGAAGCATCATTAGCGCAAACTTCGCCCTATCAGATATGACAACACCTCGCGAACAGCATTTCATCCGTCTAAAGAAAAAAAATGGTGCAAGTAGAGTCCCGCTACGTATTTATTTACGCTGTACAAATAGATATATGAATCGTTCTGACAGATTCTTTTTAAGCTCTTTGGACCAAAGAATTCAAGGAACTGACCTGCAGTTGTCTTGCTGGAGGATTTTGCTGTAGCCATTTTAGAAACAGAATAGCGATCCGAGTCCTCAAGGCAAAAGACTTTGTGCCTATTTCAGAAAAGTTTGGAGTACAAGAAACTCACTGCAGGTCGACTGACAAGAATACCCATAGTAGATGTTTCAGGCTGATGAACAACCCGTCGGACTGACTCTCCCAAAGATACGGTACGAATATGAAGTTTTTGTATCTCATCTACCGTTCCGATTACGATAGTTTCCCCATCCGACATCACTAAGCTGTTCCTGCAAGCATAGTATTAAAATCCAGTCGTCACTATATAGCAAATGTTAGTTCTAACCGATAAGACGAGGAATTCAACGCACAAACATGCGTGACTATTCGAAGGTTCACATTTGAAAAGACCAATTTTCCATTAGAGGAGAAGATAACTGCAGGTCGATCACTACACACAAATATATGCATTTGTCCACGTGAATAAAAACGATTTAGGCTGGGCGGCTGTGTTCCAACAGTGGCCTTCTTCATTTCAAGAAGAGCCCCTAAGATTGAAATAAATCAAGAAGATTACAGGCAATGACTGTTAATTACCATTCTCGCGATCTACGTGGTAGTAATATAGCGTCCCATCTCCGAGCGCTACCATCAAATATATAGTATTCTCCAACTTCGTCATCATTATTGAGCGCGGGAGCATGTCACCGGGCATATTCTCACATGTAATCTGCAAGAGAAAATAGAAGAGTGCATTTGTTGAAAGGGGGGGGGGAGGAGACAGGCATGCAGTAAAATTTTTGGACTAAATCTATGGGTAAGCAGCCCTTCAAACGAGTGCTGGCTTTCAGCTTAAAGGCAGCGTCCAGGCAGATCTGGACCTATGGGGCTTTTACGTGGAAAGTACTTTTGGGGCCCTAACTAAGGCACTGCCCAAGCGGCAGCTCAGGTAGTGCTGTAATGGCTGAGATATTCCCTTCGAAACTGGACCCCGCGACCGTGTTTCGCATGGATTCATGGCGCAAAGCGTGGATCCTGACGCGAAACTGCCATGAATCCATGCGAATACGTTCGCGGGGCCGGTTTCGAGGGAAATATCTCAGCCATTAGAGCACTACCTGAGCTGCCGCTTGGGCAGTGCTTTACTTAGGGCCCCAAAAGTACTTTCCACGTAAAAGCCCCATAGGTCTAGATCTGCCTGGACGCTGCCTTTAAGCACGATACAAAAGTGATCAGGATGAAAACAGAACATACTTCCTCTATGTTCGGAAGCGTGTATAATGCAATTCTGTGGTGTTTCCAGAATCCAACAGCGATCAAGGTAGATTCGGTTGATTCTTCTACAATAATTATGAACTCTTCGCCGCTGGCATGTTCATGGTGCGATTAATCGAGACATACCTATGGTTCCGATATCTATACATGCAACTTCATCTTGGAGTGTGACGTTTGCCACCTCTGTGATTGTCATATCACCACACTGGAGGTAATAAACACGAGTTCCGCAAGCCACGACCACCTAAAGATAGGATGTGAAAAGCAACAAGTGATGCAGATAAATTACCTGGCCACTTCCTTGATTTACAGAAACCAGATTTATCAAAGAACTGTGTGAAGGCTTCCATATGACTTTTTTAGTTCCCTCACGCGCTAACAGAACACAAGTAGAAGTAACCTAAACATAAGTCGTATGAAGGTTAAAAAAAACGGAGAAGATAGAAATTTGACTGTAAGAGAAATTGGCGGAGGGTTATGGTCGGTCAAAAATCTCACTTGCAGAACGATCTGAGACTCTCCCAACATTCCAGCCCATAGCGTGTGTTCGTCAGTTTCAAGATCTGGAATCTCAATGATTTATGACTTCAGCTTTTACTGCTTGAAAGCTCCAAGTAGCTCCTAATAAGGAATAAAATTATATGTAGGGCCAGATACCGTAAGCATTGACCTGTACTATAAAATAAACATAGTCACACTTACCCAGCAATTGGGTATCTTCCAACTCTTCACCGTTCATAGCGAGAATATGCGTTTCAGAGTTTAGGGAGATAATCAGATAATTGTCCAACTTCGAACCGATTTTCAGAGTAAAAATTCCCTGAAAAATATATTTGGACCGATAAGCCGATACGGCAGAAGCGAATGACCTTGACACCAGGAATATCCACGGAAGCAGCTTCGTCTATACCGATGCCATTACGAATGATACGTAGAGATCCCTCCTAAGACATACACCTGGCTAGCTATGGTTTTTTTTTGAAGTGGCAAACCTTGAAGGCTCCAGAGCAAGTAATAATTTGATTCTGACCATCACATTCCATGACAGCAATATCTCGAATGGGGGCAAGGTTTGTGAATGTTTGCAATATCTACAAGATGAAAACACGAAACAAATTTACAAAGTAAAACAAACTTAGTTCAAATCTAACTTGTACAAAAGAGTTATTCTCCGCGTTCGGCTGTGAGGTTAAGCGAACAAGTTGAGAATCACCAAACCGCGAACCAACAAACAATACGCCGTTATCCAGATAGACCAAACTTTCGGCAATAGTAGTTTCACCCAGAGATTCTATCTGAAGAATATTCTCTTGCACAGCTCCTTTTTTACGGATATTAAGTGCAAATTATCAAGTGAATCCAATCAAATGAGGCAGATGACCATTGATACTAGTCAAACCTTCAGATCTTTCACACTTGGATTAGGGCTCTTAACGTCGACATCAAGGACGAGCATATATAAAACACCATGATCATCAGCCAAAAGAAACCTGAATTACATGGGCATATTAACTTCCACAATGACCGGAGGTTGCTCCTACCGCTGTCCGTTGGTATCCACAGATGCGTAGCAAGTGAACAGCGCTTTATTCATAGTATTTGGAGATATAGTTAGATATACATTATCCTCCCTGAACACACTGGGTCATGAAAATCGAAGGCTTTAATTCACGCACCCATTATAGAGAATCGTTTCTTGTCCTACTACTACCACACCACCACATGGCAGAGGTACTGGAATAACCATTCTAGCCTCCGTTTCGATATTGTCCTTAACATCGCATACTGAAACGGACCCGTATGCAAAAAAAGGTGTAAGATACCTGTTTAGAAATCGTTTTGAGCTCCTTATCTGCTAGCGACAATTCAACTGTTTTCAGATGTCGTCCATTTGAATCTTGTGAGATGTACGCAAGTCTTATTGAGTCTCCTGCAACAACGAAGTCTTATGGCTCTACAGTGTTGGCAGAAGCAAGATTATTTGGTAAAAATGAAAGCAGATGAAAGCGTTATTCTACATGTCAAGGACTACAAAGTACCATTCTGGATCTTTTCAAGCCGATATTTAGTGAGTACACGATCGCAACAGCAACGATCTGTTATACCTGCACGGTTTAGAGGCATCGTCCACCCGAATTTCGGCTTACATATTTTATCCAATGGAGTAGAGGGAGTATATTAGTACTTGGATGCAACTACGTTTTTCTATTTAGCGAGCAACAGTTAAATTCGTGATCTGCCATTTCTTTGATAAAAAGAAAGTTCTTAGGATGAAATATTAATAAAATTATTAAAAATTTCCAAACAATTTTAACTCCCCTGTTCTAGGGTCAAAAAACGAAGTATTTAAATGTAAAAATTAATGGTGAGGTTTAATTCAAATTTAAAATTTCCCCACATTTGTGGACAATGAGAAAAATAGGGTTCCTCACTGCTTTCGCGCCTTTTTTTTCGTTAGGAAATAATTCTCTTCAAACAGCACCACCTACAGGGTTTATCAAATGAAGTGTCGCTTGCACCAGCATCTCCACTCCCGCGCTGGACTCTGCATCTCTTCAAATATATTAATATAATATAGCATATATGCTCTCTAGTCACTTCCGATCGACTGAGGCTCCGCCTTTCCTACGCTCGCCCTGGGAAAGAGCTCACAGAGCATATTCCGCGAAAGGAACGCAGAGTCCAGCGCGAGAATGGAGATGCTGGTGAAGCGACACTTCATTTGATAGGCCCTGTACATTCCAGTTCTCAATGAAATGCTCTTCTCAAAGATGCCAAACACTAGACAGAAATTTGCCTGCGGCGTTTGTAGGAACCGCAAAAGCAACCGAAATCAATTATCAGCCAAGTCAAACTATAATAACGAAATGAGAATAGATTGGAAAAAATTAAACAGAAACGAGAAGCAACAACGGAAAGACATACAAAATCAAACATACCTTGTGTTTCGATAAAACTCAAATCCACAATCGCAAGGTCTTCAAATCGCACGTTGAATGACTTCAAGTCTTTATTATCCTCCCACTGTATGATTTTTAGCGTTCCATCATAAATTCGCAAAGCGATCAACTAAAGTCCATGTTTGCAACATGTTCACTCATTCATTCCTTGTTCGACATTGCTCTTTCACTCACCCCTGACTTATTTACACACGCAATAGGACCATAATCGCTGGGTCTACCGACACGATCGCAAACACTGCCAGCAGCTCTTGTTATCAACTCATTCTTCTCAACATCCCAGGCCACGATAGCCAGATGATTTTTGGCCGTAAGAATAAGAAGACTGTCGCGATTCTGAAGATCGAGACTAAAACAACGAAACACAAAATTGTCAAACCTCGTTTTTCGGCCTGAACAACTTTATGGTCTCAATCCTTCCAAACACTGGAACTTCTTGCACTACTTTCAACCCATCAGATGCTACTTTAACGATTTCCAGTCGGTTCACCTTGGCAAGGATCAAGTTCATGTCTTCGTCACCTATTATAAACTACTTTTATAAGGTTCTTGATAAATCATGAGGAGTTTGATGGCGCAAAAACCAATGTTCACCTGTAAAATTGCCCACAACGGCATCCGTCACGACAGACGCCTTCTTGGCGGAGACAATGTAATTGAGGGCCATGCAGATTGTGCCAGGTCTGGAAAAGCTGTAACTTACACTTATAACATATCTTGAACATTTACCATGACACAATGCGTCAGAAGTTACTTTAGAAGTTTGTAGAAAGAAGGATCGTGGCCATCGATGTAAGTTTGAGGGAACGGCCATAGTGCCGGCGTTGCGAGGTTGCTGGGGTTGCCGAGGTTGCCGTCGTTGTAGATCATGACAGCCTGACGTTTCGTGCGCTCTCTATATAAGCTGTCTCTGATCCCCGGCAACGCCAGCAACCTCGGCAACCCCAGCAACCGTTGCCGGCAACCTATGGCCGTTCCATACGAGGGTTACTAAACATGCTGTCTACGAAAAAGCCGTCCACGGGATGAAATCAAAGTCCCCTATGGAATCAAGCTGGGATCCCATACCACCCATACCATATCTCAGTGAGGTTATCGTAGGGTATGGACTTATGGACTTAATGTTAGCGATTGTCAGGTCAGATGAGCCCTCCTAACTTTGCATTCTGTGATTATGACCTCATGGCATACCTACCTTCCACAGAAGGTCTCTAAGGACCCGTCATACTTCGCCGAAAAAAGCCCAAAAGCGCCCAAAGAAGCCCGAAAAAGCCCAAAAAAGCCCGAAAGCGCCAAAAAGAGCCGGGATGTAGGAACGAACTTTTGGTAGAATTCTGACATTATCTTATCATGCGGACGACAGAAAATGACGAAAAGGCTTGATTGCGAAGTCAACACATATGCCTTAGCGCCAAAGCGTGCGAGAAGTGTTCCTGCTCTTTCTGGGCTTTTTTGGGCTATTTTGGGCTTTTTTGGGCTTTTTTCGGCGAAGTATGACGGGTCCCTAATCAAGGAGTTAATGAAATTTTCTTGATCAGCACGTCAACGAACGCGTGTGCAAATCTTCAGCGAGATCTGAGATATTGCAGCTTCAAACTGGTTACGGGGATAGCTCCGAATCAAAAACGAATGAGATCCATCAGCAATTTCCACTACTCCTACTCAAGTGATACAGATTGCAGAAATTAAGGATGAGGAAAGGAAGATGACTTTCTCCCAAATATCCACATACATACATAAGTTTCCAAGCTATCTACACATAAGCTATTCAGATTGAGCAGCTCTCACAAAGTACTCATTCTAATACTTTCATTCTGGTAACCAATCATCAAACAAAGGCACCAAATGAAGCAAACCATGCAGACAATACTGAGGAAATCAAAACGCAAACGAAGTCAAGAAAACAATTTGTACGGATAAAGCTTTCCAACTCTGGAGTGAAGATTCGCGTGCGACTTTACGGACGAGTCATTACAAATTTCGCATCGACGCAGGAAACATCCGTGGGTCAACAACTTCCCAGTTTTCATTCAAATATATTTTAAGCAATTGCAGCATAGATTCAGGATAAATATTTTTTTTCTAGAAATGATTCGTCGTGAGAATCGTTTGCGGCGGGAGTACATTTACAGAAAAAGTTTGGAGGAGAAGCAACGAGCTGTAGAAGAGAAACGGGAGAAGATCAGGGACGCTTTGGAGAACAACAAGTAAGCTTTGATGGCTTATCAAATTCAAAGTTTTACCGCTTGCTCATGTGAAAGAATGAGGTTTGCTTTTGTACTGCAACCAAAAGAGCTGGAAGGTCACCGTCGCGTTTATCAATGACTAGCTGGCTTACCCGGCTCCGCCGTATCCGGACCAAACTTGGCACACATACACTTCGGGCCCCGGCGGGTGTCACAGTCCACTTTTCGTTATCGATCGATGTCGATTTTACCGATTTTTATCGATTTTTTCGCAGAGTTCACCTACAGGGCTAGGAGTTGGCACAGGGGGGAAGTGAGCATGGGAATTCCGAATACAATATTAGTTTTCAGAATTATCGGTTACTTTTATTGATTTTTTCGATTTTTTGTAAATTTTGACATGCGAGGCTGAGATTTTGCACAGGGGGGTAATCGAGCATGCTGATTACGAACACAATATTAGTTTTCAGGATCGTCCATTACTTTTATCGATTTTATCGATTTTTTTGTAAAGTTTGACCTGCGGGGCTGGGAGTTTGCACAGGGGGTAATCGAGCATGCAGATTACGAATACAATATTAGTTTTCAAGATCGTCCATTACTTTTATCGATTTTATCGATTTTTTGAAAATTTGAGCTAGGGGGCTGGAATTTGGCACAGGGGTGTAATCGAGCATGCTGATCACCCCCCTTGGGGATGATCAGCATGCTCGAATACCCCCCTGTGCCAACTCCCAGCCCCCTAGCTCCAACTTTGCAAAAAATCGATAAAATCGATAAAAGTAATCGATAATCCCGAAAACCAATATTGTATTCGGAATCCCCATGCTCGATTACCCCCCTGTGCGAACTCCCAGCCTCGTAGCTCAAACTTTGCAAAAAATCGATAAAATCGATAAAAGTAATCGATAATCCTGAAAACCAATATTGTATTCGGAATCCCCATGCTCGATTACCCCCCTGTGCCAACTCCCAGCCCCGTAGCTCAAACTTTGCAAAAAAATCGATAAAATCGATAAGAGTAATCGATAATCCTGAAAACCAAAATTGTATTCGGAATCCCCATGCTCGATTACCCCCCTGTGCCAACTCCCAGCCCCGTAGGTGAACTCAGCAAAAAAATCGATAAAAATCGATAAAATCGATATCGATCGATGACGAAAAGTAGCCTATGACACCCGCCGGGGCCCGTAGTGTATGTGTGCCAAGTTTGGTCCGGATCGGTTCAGAAATAGAATTTTCTATTCGGAACATACGTACACACATACATACATACAGACAGACATACATACATACATACAAACAGACATTCAGCTTTATATATAAGATTACCACATAGCATAGAAATCTGAGCGAGAAGATAGTGATAGTTGCCCAGCATTTGGTACTGGAGGAAAAGACGGATAAAGAAAGTTTACAATATCAGCATATGCGGGCACAGATCGGGAGCAGATTTCCCACTACTCTGTCATTTTATCTAGACAGCTGTTCCGCTTCTTCTTATTAATTTTTTTTCAGTCCACAAAAACCTGGACCCTAACAACGAACTTGCACCACTTTCATGACTTGTTCGCCATCGAACTGTCTCGTACGAAGGCAACGCGCGAGATGCGACAAACTATAAATGCAGGCCACAGGGGCGCACATGACCACAGTTTCCTTTTGCGCTATATTTACGCTCTCAAAATAGTCTTCAGCAAATCCATTAAAGGCAGCGTCCAGGCAAGTCTGGACACATGGGGACCTCACGTGGATAGTAATTTTGGGGCCTTAACTAAGCCACTGCCAAACCGGCAGCTCAAGTAGTGCTCTAACGGCTGAGATATTCTCCTCGAAACTGAATCTCACGATCGTATTCCGCATGGATTCATGACGAAAAGCGTGGATTGGCGCAAACCTGCCATGAATCCATGCGAATAGAAGCGAGGGGTCCAGTTTCGAGGGGCTCTTAGAGCTCTCAGCTCTTAGAGCACTACCTGTGCTGCCACTTGGGCAGTGCCTTAGTTAAGGCCCCAAAAGTACTTTCCACGTAAAATTCATATAGGTGCAGATCTGCCTGGATGCTGCCTTTAACTCACGACGTTTTAGAAATTTTGTAAATTCTATTTCTCGCTAGAACGATACATAGTGGATTGAAATATGTATCGTTCTAGCGTATTTTAAATATGTATACATATAGTAAACATGTATACAGGCTATGTTGGTTAAGTTTTCTCGCAGCCTTTGAACCATTTAGGAAAATTGACACATCATTACGAAAAGAGGCCATCGAACTTGCTAAGGGTGCAGAATGGGGCGGACAGGTAACAAATATCTCGACATCCAAACTCTTGGTCATCATCAGATCTGGTTTAGATCATGTCTGTCGATGATGAGTATCGCTGGGCTGGAACAAAAGATCCGAAAATCGTAATTACTACAAGCAGAGACCCATCGAGCAAGCTGAAGGTTTTTGTGAAGGTGAGGAAACCTTTTTCTGGAGACACTGGGTGTAAAGGGAACATTTAGGAAATGAAACTGATTTTTCCGAATGCACAGAGGTTGAACAGAGGTCATTACGATGTCAAGCAACTCGTACAAGCTTGTAGAGCGAATGATGTAAGTCGCTTCTTTTGTGGTCTTGTTCACTAAGCGGCCCTGTTCAGGTTACTGATTTCATTATGTTAACTGAAACTCGAGGTAATCCTGACGGAATGGTGGTTTGTCATCTTCCTTTCGGTCCCACTGCTTACTTTACCATGGCTAATGTCGTAATGCGGCATGATATACCTGACAGAGAAGCTGTTAGTGAACAGTATCCTCATCTGATTTTCCATAATCTTGGCAGCCGCTTGGGACAAAGGGTAAGAATCTTTGAATATGCCTCTTTTTTGTTGCGGCTTGTGCCCTAGGACAATCTCCTTTCTAATTAGCTGCCCGTCATAAGAATCTCTTCATTTAGTTTACTTCGATACTGAAGTATCTGTTTCCTGTACCGAAAGAAAGCTCTAAAAGGGTGATCACATTTGCGAACACCGATGATTTCATATCTTTTCGACATCACACATTTACGGTGAATGTTCCTTAAATCTGTACATGATGTTCTTATCAGCTTTCTTCTCAGACGGCACAAGGGGGCGAAATCGAATTGAAGGAGGTTGGACCACGGTTTGAACTACGACGTAAATTTTACTTATGAGCTTCACTCAGTAAGTTTTGAGATTGCAAGTAAAAATTTTGTAGCTTACGCCATCAAGCTGGGAACTTTGGAAAACATAGCAGCAGCAGAAGACGAATGGGTACTTCGGTCATTCATGAACACTTCGAGGAAGAGACAATTGCTGAGCAGTAAGGAGGAGGACAGCGATGAAGAAACCTAGTCATTTCGTGTTTCATTGTTAGTTGTTGTTGTTTTTGTTGACTCCCTGTTATCTCTCGAATCAATAAATTTTCCTAATTCTATCAACATCTATACACAAAAAATTTTACAAGGCTAATATTTTGAAAAATTTCTAAACATTATTACAATTACTAACAATAAACAAGTCACTTGCACATCTTTATAACCCATGTAAGCAAATTTCAAAAATTTCGCGACCCATTTTCGGAGAGGGGGCGTTTCGTTTCTTTCTTGTTACTACGTATTTGGTCACAAAATATGTACTTTTTGTTCACTGTAACAACGTGACCCCCAAATATTTCCTCTAGGACATCTCCTCTGGCCCTGCTGCCTCTCGCCCGGGTTACTGTAACGCCGCGTCGCGGCAATTTCTAATTGACCCCACAAATAAGGGGCGCCCCTCTCCCGGAAATACTCCTGCAACTTGCATCGTTCGTTTTTGTTTGAGGAATCTGATAGAGGCTTGAGTTATTTGATTCAAACCCAATGTATAGAAGATGAGGACAAAAACATCTTTATTCAGGGTGCTGCGCGGTAACGCCCCGTGTAATGGCCCACCACTCCTCCTTAGGAATGCAAAAATTCTTCTTCTGCACAGGTATTTGTCAAACACCCTAGCGGGCCTCAGGTTTCTCACCTCTTGTCTCAAGAAGCGATTCAATGGCAGCAGTGTCCGGACAAGGTGGGGAGGGGAGGGGGTTGGGATCTTACCATCAGTGCCGGGCGGAAGCGGGTCCTCTCGGACAGCCATCGCGCAAGTGAAGTCATAAGTTTTGACCACAACCAAGGGATATGGTCGGAAAGCTCGAAAACACCCACAGAATGGAAGGTGAGAGGCGGAATTTTGGGTGGACGCGGCATTTAGCCTGTGAGTGCATCCCTGATGATTTTGATTGTTACAAACTCTTTTCTTGATTCAAAATTATTTTATTGAATGCAAGTATCGTTAATGACAATGCTTTTGTGATCAGATTCTAAATCCCGTTCTCCCTTTTGTTTTTCCTCTTTTTCTGTAAAAATCAGTGATTAGAAGAGCTTAAGGAGAGTTTTTTTGTAGCAAAATAAGAAATATGATGATGTGCAATCTACCTTCTTCTTTTTCTTCTTTGGTTCGGTATTTTCTATGAAAAGAATGAGCGGAGGCTTGACATGTCTTTGGGACTCTATCCTCCTCAGGTGTTTTGCCTCATCAGATCCGGGTATTACGTCGAATCCCTCAAAACCAAAACTTCTTCCTGAATTAGAAATGAGACAATCGTCTCACTTCGGTCTGTAGACTGGTGACCCGTCTGGCTAAATCCTTCCATGATGCAGTTTGTGCAGCAGCGCGCTTCTGCGCACTCCAAACAAATGTATTTGCCGCAAGTAACACTCCTTTCAGGTTTCTTAGAAATTCTTCCTGAATAATGATCTCCCCATCTATTTACTGAATCGCTGTTATCTTACCGTGGGCTCGCCTTGAAATTGCAGGACAAAGTTTATCTGAGGATGGTTGGCTGACATCTCAATCGGTTGTCCATCCTTACTAGCTGGTGGTCCTCCTTCACCTGATACGCCACTTGGAGGTCCTTCTCCTTCGGAACCCTGGCTTTCAGGTACTCCTGGTTCCTCACTCTCGTCGCCGACTCCTTCTTCCTCAAACTGGAATAAGCAGACAAATTCCGAGAAAATCTGTGCTGTTATAGTGATTGGTCTTGGGCTTACTTGGCTCTCGGTCCGTTTGCCACAGCTTATCGTTGAGAATATGTAAAACGAAGGTAATGCAGCTACTGCCACTAGCAAGAGCATCGCACTGAAATGACTTGAGTGGTGTCACTGTAGGCCATACACCACCGGACGAGCTCACTATTCAGGAGCACCAAAGCGACTGAAGAGTTGTTTGTTAAGTAGACTCATCCCATCAAAAATGAGCTTATATAAGTATGCAGGCTATATGATAAGAAAGTGATAGTCATGTGCTCTCTTTGCTTTAAATGCCAAATAGATTATGAAACAGTCCAAAAGAATATCGTTATTTTAGCTACAGTACCACTCGTGCTGCTTTGACTGAGCCGTGACCACTGCGTTATAGAGGTTCCTCACACACTTCAAATGCTTATAAGATCCTCGTTTATTTACCAAGAAAGATATCCGGTTACTTCATCGTAACTATCCTAATTTCACGATGGGACGCGGGGGATTTTTTCGTCTAAAATCGAACAGCAAGGCAAGCGAAAAGACTTCGCAACCAAAAAACTATATAAAGTGCTGCATATTGCCTGAGAGTATCATGCGGCATAAAGCTCGTTTTCCAAAGTGAAGCGAGGCGGCTGAGCGGCTCGCTTAGAAAATCGAAAAAGGTGCGTCTTATACTCGTGAAATAAGGTAGTACATTTGTAACCCCCACAATGGTCGGCCGCCTCATCGTGGCTTGGGGGTGACACTGGGTGTCGAACTGCGACGCACACCGAGTGTATACTTTGGCAGGACCTCTCAAGCTTTGAAGGAGTTCGACGATTACGGTTTCGGCAAGATGCCTAGCTAAGAGCCGGATCCACCGCTGCCTGGTTTTCTGGCCACTAGGCTGTTCTCCCCGCTCCAAGCCCGGGTAACGATCGCTCGCCCCATGGAAATCAAGAGTAGGACTAGTAAGTCTGCTCCTGTAGGGGAAAAATTTTATAACTCTACCAATCAGAAGAATAGAAAGAAACCTTGTACATCGGATCCCACCTACGGCGCCGGGTGATTAGCAAGAACGATCTCAGGGTCCTCAGGGCGCCTTTTGGATTGGACAAAAACAACACGTCTGCCCGGACGACACGCCATTGAGACTGCCTCATGCTTTGCACTACAAGGCCAGGACAGTCTCCGCAAACGCCAAGATCTCCACGCTCTTCTCGACGCTGCGAAGCACATCAAGTCCACATCATCGCTCTGCAGGAAACGAAATCCAGGAAGAAGGACATGCGACAGATGAGTGATGGGACGCTCATCATTTGTGGTGAGAAGGTTCCATCATGAAATGTTGGGGGCGTTGGCTTTGTCGTCCACACTTATCGTCCATCTTGTCGATTCGCATAAGATCCTATCACCTTGGCTAGCCATCCTACGACTACGACCTCCACGTCAGAAGACCATCAGCATCATCAACTGCTACTCTCCAACATCAGCAGCTGACGACTCAGAACCAGATGCTTTCTACGAAGACCCGCAACGAAAAGTCCTTCTACAAGTTTGTTGTGGGCGACTTCAGCGAAAATCGGAATGCCACTAGAGAAGGAATATAGGATCGGAAAGTTTGGATATGGGCTCCGAATGAAAACGGCAACCGTCTCGTTGGGCTTCTCTTCGCCGCACGATTATTCAATGGGAATTCCATCTTCATGAAGAAAGAACATCGCCGGTGGACATAGGAATCGCCCAAACGGAACGACTCACGCGGAGATCGACCACATTCTCACCAACCGAAGGTTGAGTTTGCTCAATGTCTCAGTAGTTCCATCCTTCTGCAGTGGCTCCGATCACCGCCTCTTTCGAGCGAAGATACGATCCAGTCGAAGGCTGGAAAAGAAGGCGAGAAGGAAAGAAGTCGTTTATGACTGTAACAGGCTGGAAGAGTTCATATCAAGTTGTGATTGGCCCATCGAGGAGGACCCAACGTACGACTACGACCGGCTTTTGAAACGACTGCGAGACTGTGGAGAGTGCGCCTCAGTGACTTCTGAGAGGAACTTGGAACGCATTTCGAAAACCAACAAGGAATTGCTCGAAAGAAAGGACTTCTGAGGCAGAATCTAAATGCAACCCTCGAGCGACTGGTAGCCAACGCCAGTTGCAAAACAGTTTTGCAGAAGGATCTCAGGAAGTACAGGCAAGCCAAGACACTGGAAGCAGCCGAAGGAAGACGAAGTTTTAGAATTGCCGAAGGAACCTCCGTGAATATCACGTACCCCTGGCACTATTGATCGAATGACCCCGACTTCTTTCGATATAAGATGGAATCGATGGCGAAAAACTTCTACACTAACCTCTTCCGCTCATCAACACCCGTGCCAATGCCCGTTGTTCCCGCTGGAGATACCACCACGAATTCTACCTGCTGAAGTGCGCACGGCGATTCAGACCATGAAGATGTCCACGGCTCCAGGACCAGACCATCTTTCCGTCGAATCTCTGCGAGCCGGAGGACAACGTCTACACGAGATTCTCGCCTCCTCCTGACATCTTACCTTCAGAAAGGAATTCCCGACGAGTGGAGAACGTCAAGAACCGTCCAACTCTTCAGGAAGGGTGAACGGGAGGATCTTCGAAACTACCGTGCATTATGCCTGCTGAGTGTGCCGTACCAGCGTTTCACGAAGATTATCCTCGCTCGCAAATCTAGGACACTGGATGAAGCGCAACCCCAAGAGCAAGCTGTATTTGCAAAGAATTCAGCTGCATGGACCACATCCAGACGGTTTCGAGGGTCATAGAAGTCTGCCGGGAGTACCGACTGCCTCTCGTCCTAACCTTCGTCAACTACGAGAAAGCCTTTGATAGCGTCGAAACCACAACGCCATCCTGTCTGCGATAGTCGATCAAGGAGTGGACCCAGCTTACGTGAGGACAATAGCCGACTGCTACAAGGACTGTACAACAACGATGCAGCTATTCCATGGCCCCCTGTCCATTCCGATTGGATGGGGTTCAACAAGGCGACACTATTTCGCCGAAGCTGTTCACCGCGGCCTTACAGTGGGTGATGAAATCACTGGACTGGGAAGAGGGAGGCTTACGAGTTTATGGGAGATTCCTGTCCCACCTTCGTTTTGCGGACGACATTGTTCTCTTCTCGAACAGTATCACTGAAGCAGAGACGATACTGAAGAAACTGAACGAAGTAGGGAAGAAGACCGGATTGCGAATAAATCGGAAGAAAAACTCAGTTCTTAAAGAACGCCCTTTGCGAAGATGCAGAAATGGAAGTGGAAGGCATCCCTATTATGGACGTTGATGAACATGGGGAACGACTTGAGAAAACAACTTGAAAGGAGAAGAAGAGGAGCCTGGGCCCTTCGAGCCTCTGAAGGAAGCCACTGACCATTGGCAGACCCGGAACTTGTCCACCTGTTCGACTCATTCGTTCTCCCGGCGCTCTGTTACGCAGCTGAGACTTGGCCGACACTGTAGCCACGTAGAAAGCTTTAAGGACCACCCACAGAGCGCTAGAGCGTAGTTTTCTGAAGTTGACCCGACACAAGCAACATTTATTCGGACTTCGCAGTACGGATTTAAGAAGAATGTCCCGTCTTCGTGACCCAGCGAAATACGTGGCGGAAGCGAAACATCGACGGGCCGGTCACATCATGAGAAGAACAGACGACAGATGGACACCGAAAACATTGGAGTGGATTCCTCGCGAAGCGAAACGTCCCCGAGGAAGAGGAAGACCTCCAACGAGACGGACAGACGTGTTCGTAGAACAAATGGACCAGCTGAGAAACTAACTGGATACGATTTTTGCTTCTGGAACTCGTGGACGCAGCCACCGACGACAGCCGAGAAGATCGTGGATGTCCGAAGCGAGGGACAGGGAACAATGGAAACTTCTGTACTGGGGCCCGCACGTCACGTGAGGACAGACCATCTAAGTATCTAAGTAAGTATAATTGTAACGAAGGGAAATTTTCATCGAATGAACGAATATCGAATAATTGAATTTTCAAATTCCGAAAGAATAAGTAACGATTGATTGATTTTCGTATAATTTCCGAGTGAACGAATAGTTTCCAAATTTCATATCATTGGAACTCGAATATTTGAATACGGGGCACAAAAAAATTCAAACTTTCAAATATTCAAATAACCGAACTTGATCGAATTCGACTATTCAACTGAATATTCAAGTATTGAAATGCAATATTCGATTACTGAATGCAATGTTCAAGTCGAACGATTATTCGAGTATAGGCCTTTCCCATTTATTCAACCACTCGAGTAATCGAATAATCGTGCGTGCAAGTTTTGCAACGACTAAGACATGGTCGTGGGTAGCATGTACTTCAGGCTGACACGTCATGAGTTTATTTTTTACATTACGACGTATTTCGGGAGTTTAATACGGGCCCAGGTGTATATGTGCAATATCCGCAGAACGGCAGACAAGAGCTCGCGCAGCACTTGTGAAATATTCCCACCCAGAGTTTTGCAAAAACGAAAGCATGGCCTTATTGTAACGAAATAAGTGTACGCCTACCAAAAGTTGAAAGAGTGAACCAAAAAGTCATGAACTAGTGGCCGATTTCATTGCAGATGCTAACTTGCGCGTGTGGAAAAACGTTGGTAAATGCTAGGATAAGTGTGAATCCATACCCTTCCTCGTTTGATGTAAGTTCTCTCAAAGCGCCCAAGGTATGCCTTAGGCCTTAGGCCTCAGGCAGAGTCCAGGCGATTTCATGTCGCGATTTATCGCGACAAGACAACTGTAGCAATATCATTGCGTGCAGATCTTCTTGTATTTCGGTTGTGATAGATAGTCACACTTAGTCGTGTTGCAAAACTATCACAACCGAAATGCAAGAAGGTCGGCGTGCAATAATATTATTACAGTTGCCTTGTCGCTATGAATTGCGACGATGAAATCGCGTGAGTTCTGCCCTAGTCTTAAAGGAGAGACTGGAAGCGTCGGCCGTGCAGGCCAAATCGCGCTTAGCGAGCCATTTTGAGGGCAAATTCCTCGGCGTGGAAGGAATCGTGTCGTCGGACTTGACGGTCGCCTGCTCAGGGGGTCCTCTGACGAAATATATGGAGACCCACACTGCCCCAATTTTCGTGACACACTGCCTTTAATGTCGCCCGCTCGCTCACATTGTTGCTAGAGAATGACTCTTTTGTCAACATCATATAAACAATCACTGCAGAGAGTTTTCTCAGAGAGGCATATTATATGTACTCGTCATCGCTGGTCGGTGAATTATTTTCTGCAAGCTACCATCCAGCAGCAGAGATTGTAAGTCGCTCGCCGAAGGTGATCCCGTCGTCAGCTAGAAGTCATAGTGGTCATGAAAGTAATTTAGGTTTACAGTTTGACTGCAGCAATAGCTTTCTTTATGGTGTTCTTGTCATTGGTGAACATAGCATGCAGTACGAGAAGAAATCCCGTGAGCTATTTTGAAATTTGAGTATAGGCATGAATGACATCATATTCTCGGCATTCAGGCACGAGGTTCAGATGAAGCAATTGCTTATGTGACTATGAAGGTAAACAACGCAACGATTTCCTTTGCAGACGCTCGCAGTTTTTCAATGCATGTCTTGCTTTTGTTCGCACAGGGAGGCAATGTGTAAGTGGGTAATGACTACCACGAATCATCTTGCAATTCGTATGCGGGCCGTCTCGCTTGCGTCATCTCGAAGAGTTCACGAACGCGTCTCGGACATCTTCCCAAGCTGGTCAGCCACTGATACCTAGATATACAGTATTTCTCACGCCTCAAGTATGGGAAAATACCGTATCTGCGAAGAGAAGCAGCAAGAGACCCAAGCGAGGCGGCTCGCGAGCGGCGCCAACCGTGACACTAAGTAAGTTGAAAGCCCCTGTATTTAAGTGCACACGTGAACAATCACCAGCTTGTTTTCCCATTATGATTACCTTATAGAACCAATAAAGAAACATTTACGTAGAAAAGACTCTTTGCTGGAATTTAGAAGAGTAATGGTGTACCTTCACCTCGAGGATGCTGAATGTGGAAGAAGAAGGGTAGAGCAAAACTGAAAAAAGCAAAGGATGCAATTTACACCTGCATTATCTTGCATTACCATCGCAGCAACCGCTACACCACGCCCAAACGTGTAGAGCTCTTCAATCGCATCTCCCTTGCGCAGCTCAATTCGGCGCAAAATCGCCATAACTTCCTTTAGAGAAACGTTAGCAGAAGCGACAGGTAGTGGAGTTATAGATCCAAACCGAATGTGGTATAGATTTTATCGCAAAACGTTATCGTCACCAAGTATCCTTCCTTGTTTGCTCAGCGGCCCACAATGACTTCCCGCGAAAGCTCCACTGGCCAGATTAGACTGGGCCTATAGGCCTTGTAAAACCTAATTGCCCGCATCGTGCCTTGAACATCAGCGTAAGCGAGCGTTGCCGCGAACGTTTGCAGGCGTTTACTATTTTTGAAGAGGTTTTCCACCAACTTCTATATCATTTTCAATGATGTAAAGCATGTTATATTTTGACCAAAATTTCTTCGAAAGCTTATAAAAATTTGTGTGAAAACAGTGCGCGCCCATTGTCTTTTGCAACAATCTTGCAGCGCTTCAAAACCCGTCGTTTCGGCAGCTCGCACTGGTATTCAAAGTCATGCATGGGCACTTAGATTTCAAAAGGCCTGTAGGCCTTTGTGGCACAGTATCCAATTTTTTGTGGTATTCTGCAACTCTGTCACAAGTCACCACTGAACAAGAGTATTAGACTCTTTCAAGGAATTTTGAAACTCCCTTACCTTCATACTTCCACCCCATCAGCTAACTAGGAGAGAATGTATTAGGAGATCGCTCAGTGGCATCAGGAGGAGGACGCCTTTGAGAGACGCGGGTCTAACGCACGACCTACTGCAGTCTTCTTCATTATTTTGTGCCAATATCCGAAAAACTTATGGCGGAACTAAGCTTAATCGTTTGACGAAAGTGATGTCCTTGTGTGAGCCTTGGCAAGCACAGCTGCTCGCTGCTGCATGGCCTCCTTGCTGACTGCTCGTACTGGAACTTCCATCTGCTGCTTCTTGTTTTGACCTGGGAAAGCTACCGCTGCACTCTGCTATATTGTGTACAATCAATGTACTCCATCACATCTTCATCGTACTAGATTTTGACAATATATGTAGTAAGCAAACTGCATGCGGTAACATAACGTGACAACGATGACAATAAACTGCCTAAGAAATCTATATATTAGGTTGGACCGAAAGTTCGTTTGCACCATTTTCAAAAGTTCATAGCTTCTGATTTTTGCAACCGAATTGACTGCTTTTATTTTTGTCTGAAAGAGTAAGTCATGCTCTTTATAAGGACATCTTGGCTGCTTGCTAATGATCATCTTTTGCATAGATAGGAGCGATAGAAGAAAATTACTCAAAATTCGATTTTTCTGTGTAGGTTCATAAAAAATCGGAGACTTGCAACAAAAATCGAAGCAATCAGTATTATAGGTTTTTTCTCCAGCCCTTTCTAACTGTGCAAAGTTTGCGCCAATTGAGCGTCTCTGTGAAAAGTTATGATTTTCGAGCAAGCAATACAAAAGGGCGAATTTGATTTATTTTGGCATTTTTCAGGAAAATCGTAACTTTTCACAGAGACGCTCAATCAGCGCAAACTTTGCAGTGTTAGAAAGAGCTGGTGAAAGAACCTAAATACCAACTGCTCCGATTCTTGTTGCAAATCTCCGATTTTTTATGACCACCCTACACAGAAAATTTGAATTTTGACTAATTTTCTTCTACCGCTCCTATCTATGCAAAGGATGATCATTGGTAAGCAGCAAAGGTGTCATTATAAAGAGCATGACTTGCTCCTTTTTACAAGAATAAAAGCAGTCAATTCGGTTACAAAAATCAGAAGTTATGAATTTTTGAAAATGGTGCGAACGAACTTTCGGTCCAACCTAATATATAAAACTCAAACTTTGTGTGTTCGTTTATTTTTCGTTCGTTATAGAAACGACCGCCAAAGAACCAATCGAGCTGGATCTTTGCACATATTCGACCCCGGAGGTGGTTTAGAGCTAGCTTTTGCGGCAACTTGCTGGGCCATTCTATTGATTTATTGATTTTTGCCATAAGAATGAGCTCTCAACATCGGCTAACAATCATTACCATGATTTTGTGTAAACAACAACAGTAGAGTTCATTTGATTTTCGCGGAGGAAGGATGCGGTGATTCAAGACGAGCTGCAGCGGGTGAGTTACTTTGATACAGAAACCCTGCGCAGCATAATGGCTAGGTGGTAAGGAGAGGAGGAGGTGGGGGGGGGGGGAGGGAGAGAGCAAGATCAGCTGACACCCGGGCTAGACCGGGAAAACCAGTTAGTCACTAATAAGGCTTGAAGGCAGCGCACACCCAGAATTTGGCCCCCCATGTTTTCGTCATTTTGGGGCCTTTCCGTGGCCCTGATTACAGTTTCGAACTTCAAACTCTCCAAAGTTCACAAAAAATCCCATTTCTGGGGAATCTGTCTTGAGGACGCGGACGAGTTTCGGATCGCTCGTCCCCGTCAGCATGCCAGCGGGGAGGAGCGGCAACTGCATGGGTGAAGTTGCAGCAGTGTGCAGCTTCTGCTCACTACCATGTTAATACGTGTCGGGAGGCATCCCTGGCTGGGTGGAGTCTGATATCAGACTCCGCCCACCCAGGGACTTCTCCATTCACAGACAACGTTAGAAGATCGGACCAACGCAGATGCCCCTTTTCTGGGGCCTACATTCAGGATCGGTACTAATCGGAGGGGGTTTTTAGCCTAACTGTTAAAACACACCGAGAATGAACTTTAGATTTGGGGCTGCACGCCTCTGCTTTCGCAACTTCACAGCATTTGAAAAAAAAAGCTAGTCCATGGGTTCGGGCGCCATGGTGCTTGGTGCAGTCCCAAGCAGTCGGTAAAGTCGGTTAACAGAGTGTTTACTACTCGAGAAGCGTAGCTCGTAGCTAGATTTTGTTTGCAGTCATATTTTCCATCTTTCTTGATCCGCAGCTAAAAGCGTATTGGGTTTTATTCTGAGGACATATCTAGCTGCCTCAAGCATCATATAGCGCAACTGCATTTGCACCAGTACGTTACAATACGCGTTACTGTGCCGAACAGATGAGAGATACAAAAATAGTTTTTTACTACAACGTGTTACAGTCACAAAGAAGTCTCTCTTCTGCGGAATTTTCAAGGGCAACATCGCCACCTGAAAAATTGGATTGGAAGTTCCACGGAATACGTGAGGCTTCTCGCTCGTTGCGATTCACAGAAGATTCTACAAGAAATGTAGGTTTTGCGGTTACATGGGTCTCCTTACGCAGCACTAACTGTGGTGAATGCACTTTATACATTTTGAGCCGCTCCCTGAAGTGTCAGGAAAAGAAAAACGTGTTTCGCTCTCTGTGCGGTTGCCAACGAAGACGAAGGTTGCTGTGCAAATGCCAGCAAGTGATAGTCTATCACTTCCTCGGAGAAAGAAATTGGTTTATCGCTATCGTAGGAAAAAGACTCCCATTCTTTATCATAGACAAGTGAGATTCAAGCACGAAATTGAGCTTTTAGGATTGGTAAGCGAATACTAGTTTCTAAAACTTGAAAACTTTCAGCCTTCAAGTGTAGAAGCGTCAGGCTCAGCTAGATCTGGCAAATCTGGGAGAAACAGCAAGTCATTGGTATGTGTAATTCTACATGTGAATCATGTTTGATGTGTCTCGTAATAGCTGCGTAATATCTCGCTACTCTAGGTATCTTTCTTCTTCCTTCTTTATCTTGCTTATAAAGGTTCTCATACCCTAATACATGCGCATAATTGATGCCAGGTTACTGGCATAAATTATTAGATTTTATTATTTTGTGTGATCCCCCGGGGATCCCAAGGGGACCAATTTCATTGCCATTTATCTTTCTGAAAATTCAATAAAACGCTGTAAAATTGCACTGTGGGTATACTACGGCACTGCTAAAGATCTTTATAGTAGAAATAAATGAAATCTCAGGACATCAAAATCTTCGGTAATCCCTGCCTGCGAGCTAGGGATCATCGAAAAATTCACAACCTTCGGATTCTGTTTCTTCGGTGGACTGTGACACCCGCCGGGGCCCGAAGTGTATGTGTGCCAAGTTTGGTCCGGATCGGTTAAGAAATGGAATTTTCTATTCGGAACATACGGCGGAGCCGGGTAAGCCAGCTAGTACTTTATAAGCAAGTTAGAGAAAGAAGAAGAAAGATAAGTAGAGTAGCGAGATGTGACGCATCCCCTCTCCGATCCCTCCCTCCCCAGCAGGGATGTACGTGCATGCGGGCCTAATTTAATCATATACAGATCTATAAGGACTAAACATAACATAAAGATTATCGCGGAAGGGTGCGCCTTTGTTTGTCCGTTTAGTGCTGGCCATAATCGTTTCAACTGTTTTGACCATACCTTCGAGAGATAGAGCTAAATGTGCGTGCGTGCCAGTCTTCACTATCACAGGGTGTTTATACCCCCTTTGATAGTGAAGATTGTTCAAGAAAATAGAGAAAAACAAAGTGAAACAAGAGGAGGTACTAGCACGCTTCCCCATAATGTAAAGTTGCTACATCGATAACTGCTGCGTAATAACATCAGCACAGTCCGAAGGGACGAGCTTTTGACGATGTTTCGAGCTCTTGAATCGGCAGTCACAGCACATTCGCTTCACCAGAGAGACCCCGCACGATGGGTGGTCCCTTCCTGAATACACAGATATACCTATATCGTGGTACGTCTCGAATGAAGTGGTACAGGAACAGAAGCTCGAGGAATATCCTAATACACGCCAAATCAGCGCATCCTACAGCAATGAAGTGCGCGGTTCTTCGGAACGTGTATCGAACGGCTGTAGAAGCAAGCGCTGGCGAACAAGAACGTCTTGAATCGAAACAGCTAGCAGCGGAAATTGCGCGTAGTAACGGCTACACATGTCTAAGGACTCGAAAACGACCACGATGTACGATCCGTAGCCAAACTATACGCGACGACAAGAACAAAATCCCACTTTGCGTACCTTTGATCTCCGACAAAGTAAGTGCGGCTATAAGACAGTGCATTGTCTGAGCACAACTGCACAATAATGTTATACTGGTGAATATCCCGAAGATATATCAGGAAGCAGTTAGTGCGAAACAGTTATAGGACGTAGAATGCATATCAGAACAATGTATTGTTTGCCCAGACGGAAAAGTAGGAGATTGCGCGAAGTGGGGAATTGTATATCAATTAGAATGTTTGAGCTGTAGAGCTTTATATATAGGCAAGACAGACAGAGCGTTGAGCATCACAGTCAGAGAGCATCTAGCTGACAAAAGATGTGGGAACTTGGTATCACCGTTAGGGAAGCACAAGTTCGAAGCACACAATGGCGCAGGGTTGGTTTCTTTTTCGACGTGCGTCTCAGTACGTTGTGCATGGGACAACGTCTGAAATGAGTACGGGAATGCGTTTGGCGGCGTAGTCTCACAGATCAAAACTGCGGTGTTCTTTTCAGGCCTCCGGAGAAGACGAAACGTGTCGAAACTTAAGCCAATAAAAGATTCACCGTAAAAATTTGGGCTTGGCAACATACTACACATTCAACGGGCGAAACAATTTTTTTGAGAAGCAGAGGAAAACATCGCAGTTCCAGTAACATTTTATTGGCGATTTACACCATTAAGCTTCGCTTCGAACCGCGACTTCGGAACTTGGGGAAGAGTAAAACTTTTTTAATCTTTCCTTATTGGTAGAACCAAACTCGGTTTATGTAGCGACTGTTGAGAGGACTTAAAATACTTGGTAAAATTTGAAGTAGTGTCAAATCCAGATCCCCTTCTTTGAAGGCAGCGTCTAGGCAAAATCGGCTTATCTAGATATTGATGCAGTCGAGCTTTGGTCTGAAGCTTGGCTTCATGGCTAATTTGCGACCTATATCTAAGAAGTTCTCCACTTCTTTTTGCTTAGCTTTTGGGTTGTAATCTATATTAGTTTCTTGTTACTCGCTGTTGTGTAGGACACGTCTTCGGTGTTTGGTCTTTGACGGGATACAAAAGTAGAGTGTAGAGTTTTTGAAAAGGATAGATGATACAAACGGTGAAGAGTAAAAGAGCAGCACAGGAAACCTTCCATCTTAGCTAAGAGCGAGCGCCTTATGCAGCACTTTGTTCCAGCGCACGGCTACTGTCTTACTAATGTAGGGACTGCCGACCACATTGAGATGATTAGCCACCCGTAATCACACCAAGTTGAACTCGATTTTGTTGTACTCGAGGACATCATTCTCGGGTGATCAAACCGTAACGATACCAATTTGAAGAAACGCGCATATCGCATTGTTTTCGTGTTCTACTGCTTACAACGCTGATTGGGATATGTTGCAAATAAAGCACTCAAAGCAAACAAGCGTAACTAATTCTTGGCTTTGCTTTTCTGGTCTTTCGTCTACCGTTGCGGCGATATCCTGCTGCTCCTCGTTATTCTGAAGTGACAATGATATTCGGTTTTACTTTCCCAAATCTCCCAGTTATGTAATGCAGAACGGCAAAGTCTACAAACATATGATTCCTTTTTAGCAAGACTCACAAAGCTTTTTCTGATAACGTGCTGAATGTACGGTAAAAAGTGTCTCTTGGTTTAAAACGGCGATAATGTTTTCCATAGTCAGCCTGATTGCATGTAGTCATACTTTGGTTTAGTGTAATTTTACAATGCGGAAGGACTACGTTTACTTGCACACCTAGATAAAACAAAGGGTGACTTACATCTTGTGAGAGAAGAGTAATAGATGTACTTACTAGTACACGAAAAGTTTGAGCCTGCACACCCTCTATTAATGTGCCATATGCATTCTGCTGCTTTCGATATTCCCTCCCAAAATCAAATCACATGTACACTTCTTTTGAGAAACGCTATTTATCATATGTGTGCTTATTATCTTAAGGACAACATAATACTATATAACTAGAGGCTGCTGCATGACGACGGCGCAGAAGTAGTTTTAGTTGAGCGGGCGCGCTCAGACAATGGATCGGACCCCTCCGCTGGGCAAGCCGAAACTGCCAGACTCGCGCCGGACCCAATTGACCAATGAGAGCGGGGCAAATGGGCGGTCCCTCGCGTGACATCACTGCCAGGCAAATGGGAGGCTTCTCCGGCCCTGCTGCAAAGGTCCGCCATTTCTCCGGCGCGACCCTGGCAGATTTGCCAGGCTCGCGCCGGACAAATTTGTCCGGCGCGAGCCTGGCAAATCTGGCGGAGTCGCGCCGGAGAAAATGGGAGGGGTCCGGAGCAGAAATGGGAGGCCTCCGGAGCAGAAAATGGGAGGTATCCGGAGCAGAAAATGGGAGGTATCCGGAGCAGAAAATGGGAGGTATCCGGAGCAGAAGATGGGAGGTATCCGCCGGAGAAATGGGAGGTATCCGGAGCAGGCTGCGTATCGATTTGGCGCGTAGCAAGCAAACGTCTAACTCCACGGTGATGAGTCCTCTGTTTACGCTCTTTGTCCATATTTTAGTCGCCGTTTCTTTGATTCTGTTGTTTTTGCGCGTTTCTTTACCGTTTTTTCCTTTTCCGCGTTGCTCTTCGTCGCGTTGGCGTTTATGTTGCTGTAAGTTCCTCGTTTTCAGGTTTATGTTTGAAAATTTCGTGCGGTTGCACTCAATCACCTTCATTGTTTGGCTCTTTCCGATTTGCTGAGACATCGTAGACTATTGATGGAGTGGTTTTTGTGATTAATTCTGGATTTTCGAAACAATGAGGTTAGTTGCGCAACTATCTAGTGTTGTTGTGATGAAAGTATCGTCGAAATAATCCGTGTTGTTGTTCCGTGTCACACAGTGCTTACCAGCCTGGCTAACGAGCGTTTTATGCAAAGAATATACCTTTAGGTAGAAAAAGATATAAAGGATGCATCTTTGGTAGGATAGGTAGTTTTTTGTTTTTGAACTGCGATACTCGAAAACGCTTTGCACACGTTACACAGGCTCAAACATGTTTGCTCTCTGATTTCCAAGATTGTTACATCCAAGATAAATTAGAGCACATGTTTCAACTTGTTAATTACACGTGTCCAAAGCTTTTCGAGGTTGTCTCACACGAAACGATAATCATTTCATTCCTTTACCGTAGATATATCCACCATTTGCAACTGATGCCAACTGCGTTAATCAAGCTGCTGTACAATAACTTGCTTTGTAGGCATAAGTTGTAATCGCTCATATCGCGAATTCACTATGAATGCGGGTTTGAACTTGTCGCCGAATGCAAATTTATTTTCCGCGGCGCGAAGTTGGCGTAATCAAACCATTATTTGGTTTTTTCTTCCTTCCTTTCATTCACATTCTTAACAGCCAGCTTTGAAAAATTGCTTTTCCAAGCACTTTCCGCAATCAAATCTAGGAAGGAACATAAAGCACGTTTTTCAAAAGAGTTCTGACTAATCACTCCTCTTTGTAGACGTCTTCTAGCTAATATAACCGCTTGAAGGCGTTTTCTTCTTTCATATCCTTTGTGCCTACTTCAGTTGGTAAGGGCTACGCTTGCAGTTCTGGCTTATCCCATATCATCGGCAGTCCGTCGTCCTTATGGTTATTTTAGAGCTGCTTCTTGCAAACTTCATCTATCTTCATCGATCGTTCACTTCATTATTCACAATCGTTTCTGGTTCAAGTTTCTTTGAATAAAGCAAGTTCTTAGCATGGACTACTTGTTGGATCGGTATTTGTTCGATAACTTGCCTTTCACAGTCTCGCCTGAAACTAGGAAAGGTATAGGTCAGAAAGCTGTCACCATGGTCCAGGTGAGGTTTTGTACCGTGTTACGGTGAGGTCTTTAGTGAGTTTTTGGAAAGCTCTTTTCTTTTACTTTATCTCCATGAGAAAGTTGCTTAATTTCAAGCAGTTTAATTCGGTATCAGCTTCATGTCTTCCAGGCGTTCAGTCACAATTATATCACATGCTGCTTTTCAGTGGGCGGATTGGTTTTGCAAATACAAAAGTCCCGTAGAATTGATCCAGAATAACCCGTACTTTTTCGCTGCTGAGCTCGTCTTTGGATTTTTATGTATGCTCACATTTGCTCATGGTATGTTTTAGGCTTCCTTTTGTATCTTATTCAAATCACTATTCGATATCAAATAAGCCTATCGTCATGGCGGTCGGTATCTATACACATGGATTGCCGTAACTGTACATGCGTTTGTCATCGAAACACTAGCTATCTCTGTACCAGAATTGAACCTTTATTGGCATGCACAGGTATTTATCTTTCTTCTCAGCAACACTCGACTTCATAATTATCCTGTTTAGGGTATGTTGAGCTTTTTTGGAATGAGAGTTCCTCTCTATGCCCTTTTTGGATTTCATCAAATGTTTCTCTACACATCCTATGTCCTTGTTAGCAGGTATCTCATGTACAGGGCTTTTCAACCTGAGAGTCGCAAGTTTCGCTTGCGCGGCTCCTCCAACGCGGCCGCCTCGCTCAGGCCGCGCGCGGCGTTTGCTGCGTATCCCCCGGATTTCGCCAAGCTTCAGTCGACGCGCAGCCAGCGCCACGAACGCTGCGCGGACCTAAGCGTGGCGTCCTAGCGGAGCGGGTGGGACACTCAGGTTGTAAAGCCCTGTACACATTTATTAGTCCACAGAATTTTCATACATTTTTTACTAGCGGGAAAATCTTCCGATCAAAATTGTAGACGTAAATTTTAACGGATAACGGTTAAGAGTTTCTGCACGGTCCTGTTTTTCGAACAGCTTGTGAAGGGGGGCGCCTACCCCGTTCCCCCCCCCCCCCCCCGACTTGTTGCTTCATTAAAAATTGATCGCTGGTTAATCCTTCTTCAACTTTTTTCACCAATACAGGTCAAGTCAGCTCAGGCCTTATAACAGTAACAGTAATTTCAGTCTTGGATAGAAATCACTTCTAAGTTCCCCTTGTCCACTTTGGTGATTGTGAGCGTAAATTTATATTTTTTGCCATTTCAGAATGCGCCTACCTTGGTGGGGTGAAGGGCCTGCAGTTGGCCTGAGTTCTGTGATGCTTCAATTACCATTCCGTATGTTAGGTACGAAATTGCTGTGGCGGACGTGGCACGATACTGATCCAACGATTGAAGACAGGTCTTTTTTCGTCTTTTCTTGGTGTCCTCGATTTTCCACATGCATACAGAATGTTCTGGACTCCATGGAGCTCTTTATACTTTTATGCCGCATGTGCTTGTTCTTTTGTATGGATGCTCCGACTAACTAGACGCTTGTTGCTTGAAAAGGAGTATGACTGGATGAAGTAAGCGGTCATCTAATGTAAGGTGAGCTGGAATTTAAAACGCGCCATCTTCAGATTCCCAAAGGAGTTGACATGCTCCTTTCTAACTGGAGTACTGTCGTACTGGCTAGGAACCGCACAGTTTGTCTGTTTTGTTTCATGTTGCACAGAATGCTTTTTTGATCTTTTTGTCATTTTTTTACCATGTTAAAACCATATGCTTATACTGTGGTGTTACAAGGTTCTTTTTGCAACTAGGAAATTAGTTTTTCTTTCAATATTCTTATCTCTAACTCCTAGTATGGTTTTTGTAATATGAATTAACTGTTGTACGTATGCTGGAGATAGATAGATAGATTTTTCGAAAGTTTGATAAATTTGAAATAAATGTCTTATCTCTTCGTTCTTTCTTCTATCTTCTATCCACAAACGCTAGGGGTGAGAGGGAGGGGGTAGAGTACGGGGTGAGGGTCGCGCTAAACTCCTACCCGGGGGGGTCCTATTCGGCTTATTTGGGTGGGGTTTAGAGACAAAATTGGGGTTTGGAGCTTAAAGGCAGCGTCCAGGCAAGTCTGGACCTATGGGGATTTTACATGAAAAGTATTTTGGGGCCCTAACTAAGCCACTACCCAACCGGCAGCTCAAGTAGTGCTCTAATGCCTGAGATATTCTGCTCGAAACCGGACCCCGCGACCGTGTTTCGCATGGATTCATGGCGCAAACGTGGATCCTGGCGCGAAACTGCCATGAATCCATGCGAATACGTTCGCGGGGGTCTGTTTCGAGGGGAATATCTCAGCCATTGGAGCACTACCTGAGCTGCTGCTTCGGCAGTGCCTTAGTTAGGGCCCCAAAAGTACTTTCCATGTAAAAGCCCCATAGGTCCAGATCTGCCTGGAAGCTGCCTTTAATTAGGGCTAATTACAGTATGCCGCGATCGGGGGGCTCCGGAGCAGAAAATGGGAGGTATCCGGAGCAGAAAATGGGGGGTATCCGGAGCAGAAAATGGGGGGTATCCGGAGCAGAAAATGGGGGGTATCCGGAGCAGAAAATGGAAGGTATCCGGAGCAGAAAATGGGAGGTATCCGGAGCAGAAATGGGAGGTCTCCGCCGGAGAAATGGGAGGGCTCCGCCGGACGAATGGGTGACCCACCGCTGGGGAAACGCCGCGACCCTGCCATTTCCCCAGCGGAGGGGTCCGATCCATTGTCTGAGCGAACGCGGCGCGCACGTATCCCACCCTTGTAAATCCTGCTCCTCATGCGCTCTGCGGCTAATAAAGCCGCGATCGCGCCCAGGTATTGCGCCTTCGTCATGCAGCAGCCTCTATGAATCATCGCTTCTCGGCAATGGATTGAGGAAGCGTTACTGATTCGATAAATCGATGATCTTCCCTACCTACAGCACTAGCAGTGCTACTCAAACGCCCTTGTTAGGACTTCCAATCCTTGCTGAGAGTCGAATCCAACCATGCGGAGCGCGAAATAGTTCGATACGTCACGACTATAAGCTATTTTTCAATTGAATGTAATGTTGACGTTTCAGGAAGATTCTGCTGCTAAGCCAAGGAGGTCTGCTTCGTTAACTAGGTTAAGCGAATCGAAAGTTTGTAATATATAAGAAAGTTAGAGTTTTGCGCTTAATTCATCGAATTCAGGACGAGGGCGGTCATAGAGGAAGGAAATTCAAGGTTCCCGATAAAATAAGAATTGTTCGCGCTTGCGACCCTGCTTATGTAGTAAGCCTTCTTGTTTTCCCTGTGGGAAAATCTATCGTTTGGTGAGTTCTACCTTTCAGACTTTGGCAAGCCTGAACCCCGACTGCTATCTCCAACGTGATACCAGAAAAATGAGGCCTTGCTATTGAAGATAAGAAAAAAACCATATTAGCTCAACGATCTATCTATCAATCAAAATAACACGAGTTGGACAATGCTATTAAATTGTAAATGACTGGTTGAGTCAACACTACATGAAGTATATCGTAGTAATCAGCACTTCTATATGTCTTCTCTTTAAGTTGTTGGTTGTACCTCTAAGGATGACGTTACGCCACAAATCCAAAATGAAATCTATCACTCTTCTCTTCGCTAACGGATGTTGTTCTTGGTTTGATTTAACATTGCACATCCAGGACCCAGCATGAAGGTGGCAAATAGACATCGGTAACGGCTTCGCCTTTGCCACTATCGATTTTTACGATTTACTCTTCATTTCGCCAGCTGCGTGCCACTATCGATTTTTACGATTTACTCTTCATTTCGCCAGCTGCGTAAGTTGCGATTGGAACGCGCTTTCTTTCCTCCAAGGGAAAGCCATCGTTGCTATTCCGGACCCTAACGAGGAGGAGAGGAGGACTCTTGGAACCGAATGTTACTATATACTAAACTTTAGGTGCAGAACAATGTAAAAAATCTGAAGAACTTGTGTGAAATGAAAGTTTGGCCTACGTCAGGTGGGCATTAGGCGGGCAACTGCCCACCTATTCGGAAAAAGTTAAGCATGCTCTTCAACCACACGAGTTTTTCATAATTTTTCATTCTCTTTCTGGGGAACGGAACTTAACCTACCCGAATTGCGGGGTATAATTAGGCACACGAAGCTCGCTTATTCCAGATGATTGTGATACAGCGTTAGGCTAAGCCACGTTGCACTTTTTTGGCATGAAACCAAGAGCCGGAAAACCTGACAATACTAGGCAAACATGAATATGATTAACTTTCACAACACAGCATTGAGTGCTGAGTTGCAAAAATTGTGTTTCATGCAAATAAATATCCGTAAATTCAAAAAAACTCATTTGACGGTAAAAATTATTGTTTTAGTCTACAAAAATTAGGTACCCTAATTTCACGCGTAGAGGCGCCGGGGATTTTTTCCAAAATCGACCAGCCCAAATACGCCAAAGAACTTCGCAAAAGGACCCCATGCCTTGCTGTATATTGCTTGAGAAAATCGTACGGCATAAGGATCGCTTTCCGGAATAATTTATAGCGGCTGAGGTTCTTAGTCGAAAAATTGAAAAAGGTGCGCCTTGTACGCGCGAAATTAGGGCAAATACTGAATGCTGAAATTCACATATTTAGTATGACAAGTGCAGCAAAATAGCTCTAATTTAAAGCAAAAAGATCCCCAAAGCCAAAGTGAACTCAGTCAAACACTTAACATTCTGCTTCCTTTATATGCTTATTTAATAAAATTATTTCATATGCTGCTAAAAGAGCGTGCTTTATATTTTCTTTATTGAATATCGTAAGCTGAAATTCGAACTTATCAATTAATGAAGATTTGGGCTTTGAATAAAAAGAACACGCAAAAGTAATAACATGTTTGAAAGGAGCGCCCAGTTAACCCCTAAATCTGTATTTTCGTTGAGGTGAGCAGATACTGTTACTGAACAGCAGTTTTGTGATTCTATAGAATTCCTGGTTTCAAATTGATGGATGCATCGCGAAAGCGTCGAAATCGGGGGCGAGACAATACACACAGACTAGGCTTTGTATACTATGCTAGTTGTCGACAACTCATGACCCCTTCTACTTGCGGCACGTCTTTCGGGTAGGGATGTTCCCACCCGCAATTGCCCACCTATCCGGAAAAAAGTTGAGCATGCTCTTCAACCACATAAGTTTCTCATAATTTGTCATACTCTACCTTAATCCCACCGCGCGCACACAGAAAAAATTCCTACCATAATGTCGTCAGTGCGCTGCATGCGAGCCACCTTTTCATTTTTTGATAGTGAGAAATCCTCAAGAAAAAAGCTTGCCACACCTTTAGTCACATGATTTTTCAATCAAACCTCTCAATTAACTCCTCCCGGCCCGGGTCCATGTACGTACCAGCTTTTGTCATACTGTTACCTGTACATTGCAAACGAGCCATTTTAATTCACATCTTGACTCGCCAGCTATGAGAAATTCTGGAAAAAACGCTGGTACTCTCTTCATTCACATAAGTTTTCAATTTTTGTACCTTGCCCCCACTAGCCCATGTTCGTTTATTTACGCAATTTGATGCCGTATGTCCCGCATGCATTGAGAATTAGTCATGTACATATGCTATTCCAATTTGCAACTATTAAGCAACGTTGCGCGTGCGGTAGTCCGCGAAGGGGTTTGACGCTATGGGAAAGAGCTTTCATTTGTTTGCCATTTAAACTACCCATTTTTTCCGAAGCTTCGCCCTGGTCCTCGCAAAAACGATATCTCCTTTGCTTTTTCACCCAAAACGATTTTCAGCTTGTCATTTGCCCACCTCGTGCAGGGCCGTGTGCACATCACCTTGTCAATTTATGTAAGCAGACGACTGAAAGTTGCTGAACTGACACTCTACTCTATTTTCAAGTGTATGGACGGCACCCTGATTGCTGTATCGTGTGCGGACATCAACGCCTCGCGTGCGATTTTTGCATGGTGTAAAGTGGTGGTCCAGCCCGAATATGTGCTGCTTCTCCCCTCCGAGCTGTCGTGTGTCTAAACACTAGCGACGTAGAACTGCGTCATCGGGTCGAAGTCACAGAAATAATCATTACCTCAAAAAGATAATGAGCAGGGTAGCAAGAGGTGTGGCACACAACAACCGGATATGACCCGTGTAATTTCTGTCTCAATACCCCCTCCCCCTCCAGAATTATCGTCTGCCTACCTAGGCACGACATAAGGGCTCTATCATGCATATTTAATAACATATTCGTAATTAATTATCCAGTCAAACCCCTGTGGGCAAAGTTAGCAAATTTTGAGGCTTCTTGATATTGAGATACAAAAGAGAAGAGCCATCTTTAACATGGTCATATATTTCAAAAGCGAATTAGCTACCTCTTTTTGTACTCAATACAAAGCACTGCTCCATATTCGCCTATATCATGAATCCTGCTGTAAATAACTAACAGACTATGAATTAAAAACAGGCCAAAATCTCGTTTGTCCCATTTTTTACTTTCAATGGCTGCTCCTTCACCAGCTTTTACACAGAGCGAAGAAGACGAATTAGACCCAAATTTCTCTTATGAAAACTACAAGACTCAGGCTATTGATTATGTAAACATTATGTCCGTTAAAATTCTTTCTGAAGTAAGTTAATGGGTTGTGGCATAAGCTCAAAAAAGCTGTGACTGCCACAGCTTCTTAGGTATTGTGTCACACCATATTAACTGATCTTCAAAGCATTCAAATGTCCGTCTTCTCTATTGGGAAGCACTGCTAAACCTTATTTTCCACATAACAGGAATTTCACTCAAGTTCGTTCCCCTTAGGGAAAAATATGGTCGTTTTTCCTTGACTGTGCAAATGGAAAACGCTGCGAAAATATTGGATTACGGTAATATGTTGAGTCTGCGCTGCTACATGAATCGTGAGGGAAAATCCTAGAAGCTTTCACAAAAGTGATTTGAGCTTGATTGGTCTTCTCTATTTTTAGGTATCGAGAGCGAAAAATGGGGCAAACGAGACTTTGACTTGCTCTCAATTCCAGAGTTCGGAAGCTAATGAAATGGGATTCTTGAGCAAAGAAGTAGTAGTACTTTATAATGAGTGCAAAAAGAAGTAGGATACTCACCTTTGAAACAAAGTTAACACGTTTCGGATCGCGAAATCGCGCGCGGCGAAAAAGTGTGCACTTTCAGCCATTAGCCAACAAAGGGGCCTTATTTCTTAGACTGAATGCTACATCTGCAATCAGCTTGTCAGATAAGTTCCATACCCAAAGTTCTGAATGGTTTCGAAGTGTTTAGATTTTGTCGTTTGTGAAGGATTTGTGTGCTCTCTCAAAAGATAGGAACAAGAACTTAGTTTCTAATAGTATCCAAAAGTATCTATATTGTAGAGGATACACATTAGTATTGAAACTACGGTATTTCTCTTTGAAAATGAAACAAAGAAAAGTTGCGACGTTGCACGCGTCATTCGCGTTGCCGCACTTCGTTTCAACTGTTGTTCGAATTGTGCTCATATCTCCTAAACAACTAATGGCGGCACAACCCTATAGAGTCATTTGGAAAGTAGGAGCAGGTCTTTGACTTGATAACCTTGGACTTACAGAAAGCCTCCTGTAAACGTCAAAAAGGTCCTTCCCAAGGCAGCGTACTGCACCATGTGCAGCACCGGTCCGAAACGTGTTAACATGTTCGAAAATGACCACCCCACTTGAGTGTTCCAATACAGTGCTGGCCAAAACTATACTTCCACCCTGAAAACTGCCGTAACTCATCTGCTTCTCAACGAATTGGTCTGAAATTCGGTAAAGCTGTGTGTTTAACAGGCTACCATCAGCACTTAAAACGGATCCCGTTTTCGTTTGTTTATTCAGGAAAAAATCAGAAATTTCGAAAAAAGCAGGCTTGAAGGTTGACCAAAACTATACTTCCACTTAAGGTTTCTGTCCGCTAAAGTAATTCTCGGCTTCCAAAGTATTTTGTGCATATACATAATCAAAAGTCGAAACAGTCGCTTTAGTCCAACTGTGTCATACCTTTATAAGAAACGCTATTCTGCTTTTTTTCGCTTAAAAATACTTTCACCCGCATTTTCTTCCCGAGAATATGTTTTATGGGTAATTTCGTAGTTTCTTGACTGGATTAGAAGAGATAGGGCTCCATCTATCTTATGGATGCTTAGGGAAGTGAGGACTAGAAAAAAAGTTTAAGTTTTCATATTTAAAGTGCACCCGACATAGATCTAACAGCAAGCCTGCGCTCAAATTTTTGCCTTCAAAGTTGGTGTTATTTTTGTAAGCTCTACATGATGTAGAAGGATTATTTACATGAAAAGAAGTTTGTACACTATACTCACGACTGTTCGCCAAGTCGCATTTTGCTTTGTTTTCAAAGCATAAATCTTTGCGGTTTAATGATAATAATTAGCCAATCCCAAAGTACTTACCAAGTGATATCTTTCCCTATTTTTGCCACTATTTAGTCGCTAGATAGAGAAAACACTCTGTATTGTGTTACCTTGTGACTCACGTG